AGTACCAGGGACTTTTTTTTTTTGCAGTACTACCTTGTACTATTTTTTTTTTTTTTTGCAGTACTACCTTGCACTTGCCAGGCAGGTGCTTATGCCACTGAGCTATATCCCCAGCCCTAGGAATTATTATTAAAACCTAATTGAATCACTCTTTTGGAACTGAGAGGCTTTAACAACACAGAGGCCATTTCACCCCGTCCTGATCTGTAGACTGTACGGAGCAGAGAACCCTGCTCCTCTATCTAAAGTGGACGAAGGAAGATGCCATGCAACCCAAGAGTTTGACTCTTCATAGAATAGTGAGGCTTCAGTTCAGTTCCTCACCCACCATTCCATGCATTCACATACAGGCACGTACACAGCCCCTGCTCAGCACCTCTGGGCCAGCCTGTCAGGCAAGTCCTCTGCCTGGAAAGAAGCAGTTCTGCAGTGATATCTGAACACATTCCAACAGCACGTGTTTATCTTTAGGGTCAGCCTTCGCTGGTGATGCTCAGGAGCCTTGGGGGGAGGGGAGGGACATGAGCATAATGGCTGTTGGCAGCCACAGAGCTAAGGAAGGAGGCCAGTGGGGACATGAAGCTCACCCTTGGGAGGATGCTGTTATGCTGTGCTTTCCAGATGGTGTGTGGCCACGTGTCTTTTTCTTCACATCAGGATGAACTCCCAGCTTTTCTGTTGCCAATGGAGATGAGAAGACGGATACCATCTCACTCAAGGGTGTGTCTTTCAAAGCAAGCCAAGACTGGGTGGGAATCTTCAGGTGGAGGCCACAGCATGTGAAGCCAGGAGAATGGCAGTTTCCATTGTTTCATTCAGGATCCAAGCTCTGCTGGAACACAACTGGTTCTGCCTCTCCCTTCCCGCTCATCCATAGGTGCCAAGACCTTGAGGCTCTTGCAGGGATAAAAAGGGGGCCACCCTCCCTGACTATGCTGGGAGCAAACCCTACCTGTTTGAGACCTCTGGACTCAGTTCCAGGATGCACTCCTCCCTCATGAAAAGTGCCCACTATCTACTTATCCCAACTAGCTGGGGACAAATACCCAAGTGCTTCTGAAAGTTACATTCCAGTTCTGGATGGCTTTGAGAAGATATACCCACAACCAGTCTCAAGACTCTGATGTCTTTTTTTTTCCTTGTTTTTTCTTTTCTTTATCTCTTTGTTTCTTTCTTTCTTTTGTTGCGGGGAGATGGGGTCTTGCTGTATATTCTAGGCTGACCTTGAATTATGTAGTCCAGGCTAGCCTTGAACTTGCAGTGATTCTCCTGCCTCAGCCTCCTAAGCACTGGGATTTCAGGTATGCACCACCATACCTGGCCTTTATTTACCTTCAAGTGAGATAATTTTAATCCTCCTCCGGACTGAGTTTTTGGGGTGGCGGAGAGTGGAGGCGGAACCATCCGATTCTTCTTCAGAGAAAATGAATCATGTCCCCCAACCCCCACCCTTAGCCCAGGAATATTTATCAGTGTTTATATAACCATGGCAACAGGCTTTATTCTTTGTCACTTAAACCCTTTTTAAAGAGAAATAGGAAAAGATAGTTCTTTTTCCTACTCCTGCCTCCTACTTTGCCTCGAGAAAAGCTATGTCTTCAGAAAAAGAAGGGTGAGAGACTCCCTGGGTGACACTGGCCTTCTCATGGGTTGCAGTGGCCCAGCACCTTAAAAGGACTTCAGAGTTTGTCCATATTTGCCTTCCAAAGTCCTGTGGGAACCACACTGTAATTAATATATGCACTTCTGACTTTCTGACTTGTCTAGGACATTTTTTTTTGAGCTCTGCATTGAGATTACGTTATCATTTTTTTTCTTGCCAATCTCTTTTACCTTAAAAGTGGCTGAAATGTGAGCTGCCTTTATTAACTGTGCATTCTACATCTATCAGACGGGGTAAATGCTCTTGTCCTGACTGCTTCACAGACGGTCATCAGAAGAGAGTTTTAAACTGATAAGAACAGATACTACACTTGATCTTAGCCAAAAGGCCAAGAAGCACTAGAAGAGAGTTTTGTAAAGAGTCAGGTTTACATAGATTTAAACCATGAGCAAGGGAAACTGAGGCCCAGTAAAAGGAAAGTGCTTGTGAGAGGTAGTGCACTGACAACAGTACAGAAATCTAACTACCCAGTCCTAGGTTCTTGCCAAGAAATCAGCCCGCTTCTCTTCGAGTTTTAACTGTAACCAGCCTCCAAGAGGAGTCTTCCAAGAGGAGTCCGGCCCTAAGGTCTCAGGGATGGAGAAAACCAGAGCATAAATATGACTCCAGGGAAGATGTTAGCCACAGACCCACGAACGTTTGCTCAGCGTTCCTTACACCGCCCCTTTGCTGCGGGCTGCAGATTTAAACGGTGGGAGCAAGGTTCCCCAAGTTAGACAACACGTGTGGTGTTTTTCTCTGGGCAAGGGAGTCTCCACAGACGATAGTCAATGGCCATGTCTCACTTTCTATCCCAATCTCAGATTGTTCAACCCCAGATCTTGTTCCACTAGGTCGGAAACTGCCACTCTGCACAGGCTACGGTCCCACTGAGAAGCGTCTCTTGGAAGCTCCTGCTTGGAGGGCCAATGATGTTGGAACCTGCAGAGCTGGCTCACCGCTGGCCCGGGCAGAAAAAGGACATGCAATTTTGGGTCTCGCCAGCGAGCACTGGAAACACTGGAGTCGCTGCCCCAAGTTTTCTGCAGGCGCGACTGTGAACAGAGCAAGGCGGGCGCGGGCATTTGGGCAGGGAGAGAGCCACGGAGACGCAGGCGTGGGCCGGGTTGTGCCCGTCTGTGCTGCCCCTTCCTCTTCCTTGTCCCTTTCCCCTTCCTCTCCTGCCTCCCTTCCTCCCTCCTTTTTCTTTCATCTTTCTCCTATTAGCAGAAACTGATGCTCTCGCCTGACACAGCCGAGGGACCACGCAGCCTGCGGCCTCCCTTTGCACCTTTGCTCGCGCCCTTACAGTTCTATCCCAAGGGAGCCCCAAAATCCTGCCTGGGGCAAACGTTTCCGTTAATTACCTCGAAACAACACATCGCTAATTTCCCTAATTACTCTCGGGCCCTGCCGGGTGGCTTGGGGGAGGAGCGGCAGCCGAGTGCGTTGGGTGCGCAGAGGCCGGAGTGGCAGGCCTCGGCTTCGGGGCCCCTCTGCAGCCTTGTGCTGCAACCCCTCTCTCAGGCACGGGCTGAAGCTCACCCCTCAGGCGCCAGGCTGTGCCTGCGGACCGGCATCCGAGCTTCTTCGAGTCCCAGCTCCCTTCCCGACCTACAAAGGCCAGCACGGAGAGCCTCGGAGAGGGCAAGGCTTGTTTCCCCACTCTCTGCAGGCACTATTGCCAACATCCCCCACCCATCGCCCTGTTCTGTGTTTTCATTCAGATCACTTTCTGAGATTATCGGTTTATTTTTACCAGTTTGTCTTATCTCCCTTTCTCTTCCTTTATAAGTTCCTGAGAGCAGAGATCTTGCCCGTCTTACTCGGTATCTCCAGACCTACAACCTCGCTGGGAACGCAGCAGACTCACAAGGATCGCCTCGCGCTAAGTTCACGGACCGCGCGGCGCTTTCTCTGCTCCGCTCGGGAGCAGAGGGTTAGGTGGACCACACGCGGGGAGAGATGAAGTGGAGCCACACGGCAGCGGGCTCTTCGGTCTAATGCACGGGGGCATTTGGGAGAGGAGCTTCTCTGATGGGAGTTGGAAAGGTCAGTGGCATTGGGGCCCTTTAGCCTCGTACTGACATGCAATAGTGTCCCCAGCCGTAAGACCGAGCTGTCCCTTTACACTAGTGAGGGGGTGCTTTGCAAGGGGCGTTGGCACGATTCCGGAGTCACGACGCCCGCCGCGCTGGCCAGGACCCTGCGACCCCCGCTAGCCCCCCAGTAGTGGCTGGGCCCCAAAGCGCTGGCAGCCCGGCCCACCCACGACTGCCCACGCCGCGGCCCCCGGGCCGCTCGTCTCATAGGCTGCAGACGTCCTCCCTGAGTCCTGATTGGCTGCCCCACTTTTCCCTCCGCCCCCGGCACCGACCGCGCGCGGCGAGCCGCCGGGACTCAGCTCCGAGTCGCCGATCTAGGAGCAAAAGCGAAGGCTCAGCTTAGCGCTGCCAGGGTCGCGGAGCGCACGTGCGGGGCGAGGAACCCGCCCAGCGCTCGGTTCTCAGTGGGCTCGGCGTCCCCACTCGAGGACTCGCTCGTGCAGCCGGGCCCGGCAGATGGGCGCATGAGGAAAGAGAACGCGGACATGGACTGCTATTTGCGTCGCCTCAAACAGGAGCTGGTAAGAGCGGAGCGGCGGCGCGGGCAGGGAGGGCTGTTCCGCCCGACGGGTACCTGGCTCCGGCCCCAGGGGAGCCCGGTCGTGCGCGGGTCGAGGAAGACCTGAGCCGACAGGAGAGGACGGGAGCTGGCAGGCAGGGAGGGGCTGTCCTCCGGGGAAAGGCCGCGAGGAAACTTCGGGCAGACAGTTGTGATGAGATCAGAAAAAGTGACAGAGAGAGAGAGAGAGAGAGACAGACAGAGAGAGAGAGAGAGGGCAACCGACCAGGCTGGCCTGTGACCTAGAGAAGCCGGGGGAGAGAGGGCGCACCCAGAGACGGACGGGCACTGGCAGAGTGGACGCACCCAGAGACCGAGCGAGGCTTGGGCGCCGCGGACTCCCCCGGCGCGGGAGCGACAGGCCGGGGCCGCCGGACGCCGCAGGTGCGGGGCTGCGCTGGAGTCCTGGAGCGCGGGGCCCATCCCTGTCCCGGGCGGGGGTCACCTGGCACTGTTCGGGCAGGAGGTCACCTGGGACCGCTCGCTGGAGGGGAGCTGGCACCGCCCCGGGCCCCCAGCTCTGCCGGGCTTGGCGGAGCTGGCGCGGCTGCGGGGGCAGGCTTGGCCGGCTGTCTGCCTGGGCTTGTCTGCCAGCAGGGAGGGGGCTGGCAGCTGTAATGACGGGGGAGGGCCCTGCGCGGGAGGAGGGGCGCCGCCTGGCTGATCGCAAGCGGGAGTTGTAGAGGCCCAGCCAGATGTCAGGTCTGGGCTTGGAGAGAGTGCAGGGAACGTGCAGAAGCCCCAGGGTGGAGGGGCTGGGAGAAGTAGCTTCGTCTGGGGAAGGGCTGAATCACCGACCTGGGGACGGGAGGAGGCGACTGGAAAGCCGTGTGAGGGAGGGCCAGGCTGCTTCTCACTGACTTGGTACACCACCTGCCTCCCTCCTCACTCCCCCTTCTGCCTTTATTGTTTCTTCAACCACCAGAATTCAGGCAGATATTATGCACATACACCCGGTTCTCACCTCTGTCCTTCTCTTCTTCTTCTTCTTTTTCAACAGTCTTTCTTGTGTCTTTGTTTCTGCCTCTGACTTTGTATCTCTCAGTTTCTCTCTCCGAGTTGTCTCTTTGGTCTCACTTTGCTCCTCTCCTTTCTTTTCAGAGCCAGGGCATCCAGGTGCACAGCACAGACCTGGATCCAGAAAGCTCCAGCTCATGGTTGTCCAGATTCCATGACAGCTTTCCACTTCTGCCTGCAAAGGCTCTACTCTTCCTGCTTGGGAGGGAACTTGGCATTGTGTTAGCGCCAGCTTCGGAGGGGGAGCAAGGACTGAGCGTTAAGTGGCAGGTGTTCTCATTGATACTTCCTGACAGAGTCACCCTGGCCCCCTTCCTGTCTGCCTTCTCAGGTTAATGATCATTTCTTTAGTCCTTTTTCCTGAAGCCCTTTCTGAGTTGACAGTTGTGAAAGTTACTGGTCCACAGAAATATTTCTTTGGTGAGAGCCAAAGTGTCTTTTGCTGCTCTTGTTAATCTATACCATGCCCCTCCTGTGCTTCTAGTTTTAACATGCATCTCATGCCAGGGTGGTGGCCACAGCCCACATGTACACAACTCACATGTACATTTTTCCCAGTCTCGTGTCCAGTGCCAGAAAGGAAGACAAGATCATCACAGTGTCTGAGGTCCAAAGCCCATGCTATGAAAGAAAACTAATAGAATCCTCTTCTTTGTGCTTGGAGTGGGGGACTGCACCACCCACATCAGGATCTGCCTAAATGGAGGGCTGGTGGGTGTTCCTGGCATGGGCTCGAATTTTAAAATCCTACTGATTTGCATGTTATACAGCACCCTAGGTGGGAGGTGGTGAGGGGAAGAAGACAGTCTGTGGATGCCAGCAGAATAAAAAAAGGCAAATAGGAATCTGCACCGAGCTGAGCTCCACATCTTGATTTGCACCCTCTTTGCCAAGGCCATGAGCCCCCAGAGCCTAGGAGAAGGAAGGGGAGAGACTAAAGTCACCCTGCTCCCCACCAGCTTTCATTTGGCCTTTTGTCTGAGCAGTTCCAGCCTTTGACTCTTGGAGAGGAAGCCAAAGGCCTGGCCAGGGGCCCAGAATGACACTCAGATGGGAGAGCGGTGAGCCCCCTCCCTGTGTCTCCACCCCCTCCCCAGTGCCAGCTTGCTCGGAACGGGGACAGCAGAGGTATTTGAGTCTTACTCTCTGACACCTCAAGCTCAAGGCTTAGGTAGCAGGACCAAATCTCGGTGCCTGCGGATCCCAAGTGGAAGCAAAGGGGAAAGTAGTGCCGAGCCCAGCGCTACTAAGGACTGCAGGGATTGAATTAGATGAAGCTTAGCTGTGGCTGGGACGGGGGTTATTGGCTTGTTTATGCCCCAGGCCTGCAGTGAAGCGGGAAAGGCATGCAGTTGGTTTATATCATGAGCTGGTGGGGCGTGGGGTGGGGGGTGCCCTGAAGATGGTTCATCCCAGGCAGGATTTTTGTGCCTCCCAGGAACATGGTACCCTAAGGCGGTCTGTGCCTGGGAATGGCCTCCTGCAGTACTGCTCAAATTCTGCATCATTTATTTCACTCAGTTCCTTCAAGAAGCAAACATCCTGCAGACGCTGGAGATAAGACTCCACAGTGTGCAAAAGGAAACACTAACAGATTGTGAAATTATCTGTGTCCAGGGTGCTCTCCGCTCTCCTCCTCATCCTAGTCCTGTCCTTGACCCGGAAAATATAGACAAGAGTCTTCCTAAAAACCAAAGTAGCAGAAGCTCTCAACTTCTTGAAAAAAGATTTGCGTTCTAACAAGTGAGCGCTGGAAAGAGGCTGGAAATGCAGGGATCCCGGCTCAGTTAAGTTCCTGGCTAGAGAGCGGCCATTCCTCCTGCCTAGAAGGGTAGGGGTCAGGTTTCAGAGATGAAATGTGGCTAGAGAAGTAGTAGCAGCTGACACATTTCTTCATTAAGATGAAGGAGTTGGGGCTGCAAGGACTCGGCAGGAAGCACATCTCTTTCCCCTTCCAGCCGCCAAAGAGGGGCCCTGCCTGAACACAAGGCCTTGGGCCCAGCTGTTCCTCGCACACAGCTCCCTTGTGGGCTTCCAGCAAATGGGACAGACACAAACATGTTGAGGAGGCAGATGTAAGATGCCCACAGGGCATTCCTCCTGAATTCAGGTCAGTGTAGAACAAACAGAATACATAAAGCCTGAGTGATCAGGGCTCGTAAAATACAGCCAGGCTAGGAAGGCTTCCTCGAGGTGGGGGAGGTTGGAGAAGGTCATCTTCTGGAATGTCCATCCTAGCTGAGACATGGGGAAGCAGTAAAGTCTCTCAGATGGAAGAGGTCCTGCTAGGCAACCTGGTGTTCCCACAATGTACTTTTCTATTCTCTGGTTTTTAGGAAACAGGACATAAAGGCAAAATGAAGAGAAAAGGAGATAAAGGAGTTACAGTAAGAACAGCTTTTAGCTCTTGGGGTAAAAGAACAAATTTTCTTAGGCAGAAATAAAACTTTTGCAAAGGGTCTCATTCTAGTCTCCTTGATGTTTAAAGCTCAGCGGAAGAGAGCTTTTGTGCTGCTTAGACAAGGATTAGTTAAAAGAGCATGGAGCATGGGATTTGGGTCAGGCCAACTTGAACTTGGCATATTACTTAACCTCTCTCTGCCTTGCTTTTCTCATCTCTAAAATGGAATTTTAAAAATACCTATTTCAAACTGGGTCTGGTAGCACAGGCAGGTGATTCCAGCACTCTGGGAGGCTGAGGTAGGAAGATACCAAGTTCAAGCCCAGCCTGGGCAACTTAGCAGCTTAATAAGTCCCTGTCTCAACATAAAAAAATAAACTGGCTGGGGATGTAGCTCAGTGTAAAGGCTCTGGGTTCAATCCCCAGCATTGAAAAACAAAAACAACAGCAACAAAAATATCCACTAGGAAGATCAAATGACAGTGTAAGTGAAATACTTCCCCACTTATCCTTAGGTTAGGTCCTTATCACCTAACATAGTGCCTGTCACAGGGACTTGGTAAGCTCTTGAGCTTGGGTTGATCAGACTGGTTTGCATAAGAGTCATTTATTCAGTAGCGAATTATGAGAGCTAGTGTGTTTCAGGCACTAACCAGACATTAGCACTGTGGTTACAAATATAAATAGGCACAGATCCTCTCTTCAGGGAACCTATGGCTTAATAGAAAAGACAATAACATGTGTTGATGTTTATATTAATATGCCAGAATAAAATATACTATGTTGTTTAATTGCCAAAGGAGCGCTAAGAAGTTATACTTTCTTTATTTCCATTTTAAAATTCAGAAGATAGAAATATGAGAAGTTGAAGTGAGTTGGCCCAAGTTAAAGTGCCGAGCAATGGCAGAGGTTAAGTTCAGACCCAGTCAGCCCGACTGTATAACTTATGCTCCAAACCCGTAGAGTAAATATATGTAAACCTCTGGGACAGAAATAGAGGATATGCCCTGTGTAAGGTGCACAGGCACAGTAGGCTGAAAAGGGAAAAGCGACCTCCATCCGGGAGATCAGGGCAAGCTTCCTGTTGTGGACGAGGTAGCCTGTGAGCTAGACATTGAGGAATAAACAGGGTCTGCACAGGAGAAAAGCAGCGTTCCAGGCGGAGAGTGACACGTGAGCAAAAGACAGAGCGGCAGCAGTGCAGATGTCTGAAGACCAGACTGGAAGTGTATGGAACATAGGCCCCGTACAGAGGAATAGTGGGCAACAGCGCTGAAAGGGTTGTTGAGGACTCCGGGGTGGGGGTGGGGCAGCCCTTGAATGTTAGTTATGCCGGAGTCTGACCTCTTGTGTTCACTGGAGAGCAGCATGGTCATGGATATGCCCAGGACCTAGGAGGTGGTGTGGAGTGGAGGAGGGGAGAGGGAGAAAATTGATGCAGGAGAGTAAGTAGGTGGTTATTGTAAGGATCCAGACTAGAGAGTATGAAGGCCTGAACTAGGAAGGAGAGAGGGAAGGTAACTTCAGGAGATCCCTTGGTTTCC